GGGCTGGGAGTTACCCTGTAGCGTATCCCGCCTCCCAATTAAGAAATGGAAGCACAGAGAGGGAGAAACTTGCCTGAGGTCACACAGGAAGTATGAGTAGAGCTGGGTCTAGGCCCTGAGCTAACCCCCCCCACCCCCGCTCCAGGCCGGGACGTAGATACAATCACTCCACTCAAGGGCTTCCTGTAGCATGGCCAAGCTGCTTTGCTGAGTCCTGTTTTCCATAACTCACTGCCTTTCTCAAAATTTCCTGTTTCCAATGATTTTCATTAAAAAATTGGAATCGTGTTGCCCAGAGTGGGGGGAAATTCTGGTTTAAAGGCAACATAAAATTGCTTTTAACTTTCTGATTCAAATCGCCTAATTAGAGGCATTATGCTCTTTGAGACAAGTCACAAATCAGAAAAGAAACTGCAATGTTTTTGGATCATATCCTTGGGGGAGGGCTGTCGAGAAGTTGGGGGGGAGGGATTAATTAGGGTGGAAAGGAGTCACAAATTACCCCCGCACAGTGGCTAGGATTGGGCCCCCTCAACTTAAAGTCTATAGGAAACACAGGCAGGCTGTCTGCTTGAACAAAACTCCTGGATGGAAAAGTTTCTCGGCTTCTGCGTCTGGTTTTTCTCACTCTTTCCTTTTTCCCACTCAGTAGCACTTGAGTGGATTTGGAGAAAAGTGTTACACCACAGCACGTGGGGAAGCAATGTTCAGAATAAGCACAGAATTTAAACCACGGAAGAGCACTGAGCAGAGAGTTAGGAAATGTGTGGGAGCCAACCAGTCTTCCAAGAAACCTCCTCATTTCCCAGCAAGCCAAGGGAGGTCCATCCTTGCTATTTGTAGAGTCTGCCTTTGCAAATTTGCCTGCTTGCTAACGTGGCCTAATGGTGCCATGTTTTCCACAACTGTGGGCTTTCTGTTGGTGATTTCACTGTTGAAAAGAGTGCCAGAGGGCTGTCCAGTGTTCCTAAGGGCAGGAGATCCATGACATGCTTACAGAGGGAATGTGTGTGTTTGATAAGCTTCATTCAGGTGTGAGTTATAATGCTATCGGGTGCAAGTTCAATGTTAATGATTCAACAATATATGTTAAGGTGTCTTTACACAGAACCACACACACAATAGGATTATGAATTGATATGTCGACAAAGGTGTTGTGAACGAGGCCTCACAGAAACCTAACCCTGTATTTCCCCTGGGAGCAAGGGTTCAGTATTTGCTAATTTGGCACTTGTGGCGACTTTCTAGAACATAACTTTACAAATAACAAGAACTGACTGTAATTTACTGACAGCTCAAAAGTCTCCATTCCAGAGAGACTTTCTCTGACTGCTCTATTTAAACCTGCATATCCCCTCCCCTTTCCTGCTACTGTTTTTCTCTAGGGCACTAAGCATCTTCTGATAAAGGATCGGTTTTGTTTACTGTCTCCTATAGAATATAAGTTCTATGAAGGCAGGGATATTTGTTTATTTAGTTCAATGGTCTAAGCACACAGCTACAACAGTGAACAGTACTGAGTACGTATAGAGATGTTAAAATTATATTAAAAAATGTTGGTGCTTTCATTTGGAAAAAAATGGAAGCATAATCAAAATTAGCATATATGCTAACCACCAAATGATTCTCCCACTCCCCAAATTAATTTGTCCACCACTAAAATTGATTTAATACAAGCAATATAAGAGAAAGGCAAATTTGGAAATTCTAAAATGGAATTTCGTCTACTAATAAATAATTCTTGATTCTGGGCACATGATAATGTAAAAAAAAAAAACAAAAAAACCCCAAAAACCCCAAGTTTTGGAGTTGAACAAGGTTGAGTTTAAAGCTCTGTGGGTCAGTTATCAATAATATGGCCCTAGAAAATTTCTCTTCAAACCTCTGTTTTCTTCTCTGTGAAATGGAGATAGTATCTGCCAAAATAGTTAATGAGTGCTTAATAAAAAAAAAAAAGAAATAGTTGAATGAGCAAATGAATGAATAAGAATACACTCATACACTTGTCAAGAGTTCTGGGAGGAAAACCAGTAACCCTTGTTTCTCCTCATGGTTCCACTGGTATCTTTCTTTTTTGGCAAAAGTAGTATATTACTTTAGCCAAAATATGTACCTTATTTGAGCTTCATTCATAAAATAAAAGGGTAGATTCTAAGCATTTTATGCATCATGTTCTGCTTTGAAAATATGAGAAAAACCATGAATACTCTGCCTCGAAAAAAATGAATATTCAGATTTTGCCCAACATTTCACCTACACTGTCAAGTGGTTCACAGAATTGCATCTGTAGTTTGTAGATCTCAGTTTAGGAAATGGCAGTCTTGGACTAGGAAGACTAAGTTCTCCACCAACTTTTTTTTTTTTTAAAGATTTTATTTATTTATTCATGGAAGACAGAAAGAGAGAGAGAGAGGCAGAGGGAGAAGCAGGCTCCCAAGGAGCAGGGAGCCCGATGCAGGACTCGATCCCAGGACTCTAGGATCATGACCTGAGCCGGAGGCAGATGCTTAACCATCGGAGCCACCCAGGCGCCCCTCCTCCAACTCTTAACATATCTTTTCTTATCCATTCCCTAAGGAAAAAAGTCTTGAGAATTTACCACATACATGACATTGCATTGGGTGATGAGGGAAGAGCAGAGGAGACATAATAAAAATAAGACTCAACTTACAGCTCTGGTGTCTAGCAGAAGAGATGGGACAGTTCCAATATAGAAGGGAAGAATCTTAGGTGGAGGGCACATACTGGGCCAAGGAGCAGATATGAAAACTATGGGAGGCAGTTGGAGAAGAATAAATTGCTCTGGTCTCTAGCTGGGAATGCCTGCCTGACTAAAATATATGGAGGTCATGGGAGAAACAAATCCTCTTATATTGTCAGCAAGGGTAGAAGAGGATTGTCATCATCTGCTACTGAAGCTATGGCCCATCTCCACCACTTCCGGTACGCTGAGTCAGCCAGTGTTCAGCACTCTCGATGGCCAAGGATTGCTTGGTTTTCTTTCCTCCCCCATCATTCATTAGGCATACACGAAGTACAGACTGTACTAAACAGTTTTATGTTGGTTGTCTCATTTCTTCATCTCTATTTTCAGATGAGGGAGTTGAGCCTCAAAAAGATGAAGTAAGGTATGCAAGACCACTCATTCAGTTACAGAATCTGACTCCAAATCCATTGTCCTTTCCCCTGCGCCAGGATACTTTTGCCTAGATGTGCCTATCCTTATTGGTAGTTGGGTGGAATTTGAAAGGATACATTGGGAGGATGCAGAGTTGAGAGGCAGCCTGGAGGCATTTGGAAATGGGTGATGGACATATGTCAGGATATTCTACTTAACTTGACCCCAGGTTAAGACTATACACTGATGAGGGTGCCTGGGTGGCTCAGTTGGTTAAGCGACTGCCTTCGGCTCAGGTCATGATCCTGGAGTCCCGGGATCGAGTCCCGCATCGGGCTCCCCGCTCAGTGGGGAGTCTGGTTCTCCCTCTGACCCTCTTCCCTCTCGTGCTCTCTATCTCTCATTCTCTCTCTCTCTCTCTCTCTCTCTCTCAAATAAATAAATAAAATTAAAAAAAAAAAAAGACTATACACTGATGAGAAGGGACAAGGAGTTTAAACCATGCTGCAGGCAATGGGGTGCCTGGGTGGCTCAGTCGTTAAGCGTCTGCCTTCAGCTCATGTCATGATCCCAGGGTCCTGAGATCAAGCCCTGCATTGCGCTCCCTGCTCTGCAGGAAGCCTGCTTCTCCCTCTCCCACTCCCCCTGCTTGTGTTCCCACTCTTGCTGTGTCTCTCTGTCAAATAAATAAATTTAAAAATCTTAAGAAAATAAAATAAACCATGCTGCAGGCAATACTACACCAGCATTACTACAAACAAATCTTAAACAACTCCTCATCAACTGTTTGATTATGATATAATTAAAAACAATGACTATTATTATTTTTATTTTGTAGATGTAGAGATGGAGCTGAGAGACAGATGACTGTTTGAGTTCTTACTGCTAGTCAGGAAAAGACCCAGCCTTTGGACCCCAGGGTGAATGACCCTACAGCCAGGCTTTTCCCTACCATAGAACACTGCCTTTCTGGTTGGAACACAGTCTTCACTGTGAAGAGAGAACTTTCCAGATGAACATTCCATTCTGCACATAAGAAAATCTTGAAGGTTTAGGTTGAGCCGATTGATTTCAAATGGTCCTTTTGAGTAGATAAGTCCACAATTTCCAATTTTCAACTTGTTTTATAGACTTCTTCTGATTCCACGCATCTTTCCTCTGCTTTTATATGAGGACATCTAGGTTTCCAACTGGAATTCCTTCTCTACAAGTCAGAACTTTGATTGGACAGGAAATTAAGTTCCTTCTCTCGATTTTGCATGCTTGCCAACTGTCCCTTCTGTTTCCCCTTTACTGCCCGGAGAGCAGGCATACACAGATTTTCTCTAGCCTAGTCAGTGAGAAACAACACTTCTACCTGAAGAATGATCCTACAGAAGTCTCTACCTGAAGAATGGTCCTACAGAAGTCTCTACCCCCACTGTCTTCCACATATCCTGCTCTCCACTTCCAGTCAGCCAATTAGAATTTCCACGTTCAGAGCACCAGTATGTCTCATCTTGGTGCCTCTGTTCATGCTATCACCATCATCTATGACACCCTAACCTCAAAGGGGGCGAACCAGTTGGCCCAAAGCTTTGTCACCTTTAAAAAAAAACAGCTCAAATACCACTTCCACCAAGAAGTCTTCACTGATCTCCTCCAATGGATATTAATCTCTCCCTCTTAGACCACCCTCAAGCTGTGTACCTCTTCCTGTTATCTTACATTAAATTATCACAAGTTATAAAAATGTCTCATCTCCTCTACTTAACTACTTGACCCCTCTATTTTCTTATGACAAGAATTATAGGGGATTCATATTCAATTCCCTACAACACAATACCTAAAATTTACTAGTTAAATGCCTCACCAAAAATTATCGTCGTCATCATAATGCCTATAATTTAACAAGCATTTATTTTGAGCTATGTATTTTTCTTGTGTTATTTCTAGTCCTTGTAATAACCCTGAAGGGTATTTTTCATCATCCTCCTTGTTCAAGTAAGGAAACCAAGATGTGGTCAGCCAATAAGTGGAAGAGGAAGACTTCAAACTTTAGGCTGTGCTTCCAAAGCCTTTTGATCTTGGCGCTATAGTTTGGTGCTGCTGAAAAATTAACTCAGGATAAGTAAGGTGCTGCATGGATTCACTGGAGACTCTAAACTTTAATCTTCCACACTCCTACCATCTGAAACAAAATTAAGATCAGTAAAAAGTTCCCTGAGCACCTCAAATTATTGTCCTTATACAAAAGGCATTCTTTTTGAGAAATAGTTTAAGTTTAGTGTGATGTTCATGAACACAAATTCTGGAGCCAGACTACCTTGGATTGAATGCTGACTCTGCTATTTGCCTAGCTGGGTGTTCTTGGGAAATTCTTTAACTTCTCTGTGTCTCATTTCTCCATTTGTAAATGATCATTATCATCATCACCATCCCTGCTTCCAAAGGTCTGTGGTGAGAATTAAATGGGGGATATGAATATGACACTCAGGAATGTGCTTGTTTAATTTAGTTATTATTAATGGGTCAGCAGCTGCAAAGTGCTGGCGTGTAAGTAGGATGCAGCCTGCAGATGATTGTAACTATAATTGCTTCATATAGTATATTTTGAAGCAGTGATTTATAGCCAAAATTTAAAGTATTTTAGATTATATACACACACACACACACACACACAAATGTAGTTTCCTACCTTCTCTTAGAAAATCAGAAGATCTATTAACTCTGAATACCTATTCTTCCCTGGCCAGAATCCATTGGGGCTGAGTAATAGCTTGCCCAACTTAAAAAAAAAAAAAAAAGGCATGAGCTCTCAGCTGCATCACTGGGGCCCTGATTCCCCTGTTGCCCTGTGCTTAAAACACTTCTCTTATCTGTGTTTTGTGTGATCCCTGTGTTACACCCTTGCTAAGAATATTTTGAAGTGTTATCTAATCTACCATATGCTTCAGTGAGTTGAGTTATCAAATTTTTCTGTCCAAACCCAATTTGAAACAGTAAACCAGGTAATCATTCACATTACCTGGCTGATAGGAAAATGGGCATTGGAACAGATAAAGCTGGGAGGAAGAAAAACCCAACAGCAGTCGTGGCTCTCCATCACAGTGAAGCACCACATTCAAAAGCCACACTCAAAATATGCCGTAACAATGTAGTATCATGCTACATGAATGCTTGCTTATTAAGAATGATCCCCCCACCACCTCCCATTTTAAGGCCTTCCTCAATATTGTAGCTCCTTAGTAGGTCTGCTCCAGTCTCTCAGTCATACTCTGTATATCAAACCAGAAGGAATGTCTTACTGTCTTATCTCCCAGAGCACAATTTGAGAAATTCTACTCTCATCCTAATTGCAGTCTTGTCCACCAGACTGAGAGTCCCTGGAGCATAGGGGCATTGTAGAACTTGCTGGGTGCCCCTTAGGGCTAAGCAAAGTGTCTTGGATTTATTTGATAAGTGTATATTTGAATGAATTTTAAGAAAATTAAAAACCATCCATTTTTCTAACCAACCTAAGCAGATAGTACAAAATATAATTGTTTGCAAATATTTCAATCAAAATTTTTTTAAAAATTCAGAAAGTGTTGGGTACATAAATGGGCCAATTCTCATTAGAAACATTCATTTTTATTACTTTGCCCTTAGAGCTAAACATGCCCAAGCCATGAGTTGGCTTCCTCTTTGTCTTTTTATGCTTCAACTCTCTCTATATCAGTTTTCTAGTTTTTTATTCATTTTTTTCAAAGATTTTATTTATTCATTTGACAGAGAATGTAAGAGAGAGTGAGAGAAAGCACAAGCAGGGGGAGCAGCAGAGGGAGAGGGAGAAGCAGGCTCCCCACTGAGCAGGGAGCCCCATGAGGGACTCGATCCCAGGACCCTGGGATCATGACCCAAGCCAAAGGCAGATGCTTAACCGACTGAGCCACCCAGGCACCCCAGTTTTCCAGTTTTTTAAATAAGGATTTATATTCATCCATCAGGTCTTATCTTGCACTTCACCTCCTCTGAAAAGCCTCCCATAATATCTAAGACTAGATTTAAGTCTCCCCCATGCACCCCTACAGCCTTCATGTACTATCACTCTATGAAAATTCCCTAGACTATCACCTCCGTAAAGGCAGAGATTATGCCCCATTTACCACTGGGATCCCTTGAATAGTCTTAAGTGCTCACAAAATATTTACTGACTGAAAAATAAAGTGAAGGAGTGAATCAACAACTGCGTGAGTATACTTCCAAGGTAGTTGTAAGAGCCCAAATCTAAGTTGTCATCACCATTATCAGGAATGTTCAATACAGGGAAGCTGAGCTGAGAAATGCTTTGGCCAACACTCCTGTCTGTTGCTCCCATCTGAGGCTGCCCTGGCTCCAGCCCTTCACCCACGATATACCCACTGAGCTTTCCTGAAGCTGACCCCATGCAAACAGGGCTGGTGGGGTGTCTTCCAGCCTCACCAACCTAATTGTTCCTCATTTCCTGCCCATAAATGGTACAAGGTGTGGAGTTGCTCCTCCCAATGTCCCAATTTCAATCATTTGTCTACATTAATCGACACTAATGGCTTTTACAAATGTAAGTCTTTAAGCTCCAGTAAGTTACATGTGTTTGAGGAGACCAGTGAAAGAAAGCTTCCAGGAAAATGTTCTCCAAATATCCTGAAAGCAGGGAGAGAGCCCAGCATTCCAAAGCCCTGTGCCTTTGTTCAGCAATCCCTCAAGAGATTGGGTTGTTATTATTAATAAAGTGTGACTTTCTCCAAATGAAAGAACAAAACCTTGTGTTTTGCGTGGAAAAGATAGGCACAACAAGATCCAGATCACATCAGTCCATTCGACACCAAAAAGGGCATGTATTTAACTTCCATATTTTCTTAAAAAATATTTTTAAGGAATATAATGGCATTAGATAAGATTTTTAAAATATTTTTGTCCTTGAGCCCAAGATTAGAATATTCTGTTACCGTCTTGGAAGAGCCACTGTCAGTCTTTTTTCAGGTTTATTGTATTTAACCTAATACAGTATCATATCCTCTTTTCTCATGGAATGTTCTACCATAAATATATCTTTCTGGTTATAATCACAGTTTTAAGAGATAGTATTTATTTTAATACATAAAGTTTAATCTCCTTAACCACTGCCTATTATTAAACATTAAAATATAAGACCAATAATTTAAAAAAAACAGTAATTTAGAAAGTAAGTGATGGATTAGGAAAAAAATACAATATGCAGCAGCTATAAAATATTATAAAAGATTCTTCACTCATCTTGGCATTAGCCATCTGATTAGTACCCCTTTTGAGAATTCTTAAATATCATTCTGAGAAGCAGACACAGGAAGGCAAAATTCTGATGATAAGAATAGACAGCAGGAAAGAATGTTTTTAAGTAAATTTTTTGAAAACTGTAAGTACAATTATAAATGTGAATAATTCCAAGTCCCACAATTAAAAGGCAGATAGTCTCCAATTCACTGAAACAAATTTTAAAAATCTAATATTATTTACTTAAAACAGTTGCTAAGATTAATTACCTGATACAACTAGAAGATAATTTCAAAACTACATTATCTTAGCCTGAATTCCCCCCAAAAGTAGTTACTCAAACAAAGGATAGTGTGTAAATAGTTCATTTGAGAAGTGATGCCTGCAAGTAGGAGTTAGGATCAGGGCAAATGAAACACACAGAGAGAAGACTAAGGGGATGCATGATTATTGATCCTGTCACTGCTATGGGAGGGTGACACTTGATCCTGCCAGGAGTCCTAAGGAACCCTCTAAAATGCATCTCACAGCTCTGCTCCCAGGGGTGTGAGTGGAGGAAGAATTTGTATTTACTGGCTCTCCATCCCATTGGTCAAGCATAACCTCATGGGAATTAACTCATTCAGACATGGACCTTTCCTGGCTTTGCCAGTTAAAATAATACTGCCTCCTATGATTGAACTGGTTGTCACAGCAGCACGTGAAGAAAGTCCTGCTGAGAGGATCTGAAGGGGCTCACAAGAGGCATCTGGTAACAGTCCATCCTTGGCATCGTTCAGATTTGCTCATGCCTTCCATTAAGTTCATCACCTTCAAGGAGGTGGCTAACTGCTATTCTGCAAGTAAGAAAAACTAGGTCCTCACAGTCACAGCTATCCCAAGCCCTAATCAGTGTTCATCATCTCTCTCCTCCAACACCTTCTACAGATTTCCCTCACTCTCAACCAATATTTTAGCTTGTCGAGGCTGCTTTCCTGGGGAACTGTCCCAGGACATCATCCGTAAGGGGGCTAAGCCCTTGGCTACTCCCAGGCATGGTTTGCTTCGGTTGTCAGCTCACCATTATCACTGTGCATGGCAGATGGATCCCTTGGTTCCTGGCAAACTGGGTCCTGCCTCCAGTCTGTTGTGGCAACTCTAACTCCTCTTGGTAATTAGGGTTCATTACCCCCATCAGTATAGCAACTGTCTTCTTTGCCTGTTGGTCCAATGATAGAGGAGCCCAAAATGGCCAGTGGGGTGTTTTCCAGCCTCACCAACTGTTTGAAATCTGAAGTTCAGTTTGAAGTTAGTGGAAACCTTACTATGTCTCATGGTAGAAGTATCTCCCCCCACCCCTGCTTGGGAACTAGAGCCTTTAATCCAGCAGATCCTGGTGATTGAGACCTGAAACTCATCCCAAAGGTCTACATTCTAGGAGCTCTCCTGTAACCAACTCTCTTAGCCTGGGTTCCCCCAAAGCAAAAGCCAAGATGAAATCTTGTATGCAGATAGGTTTATTTAGGAAGTAATTCTGGAAAGGAGGGATGAGGGGCAGGAGAAAAGTGGGGGGGAGGAGAGAGAGAGGAGGAGGAGAAAGGAGAGAAAGCCAACATGAGGATGCATTGTTGATTGGGCCACCGTAGACATGGTAGACAGGTACTTCGTAAGTCTGTCTTGAAATTGTCCATTCAGGAGTCAAATAGAGAAGAATTTCTATCATCTTATGGTTAATTTTCCCTTTCCATAAAGCTAAGTCACTAATTGTTGCCAAAATTCCCTTTCTTTAAAATCCTACATTCCCGACATGCAGTATAAGCTAATTTTATTTTATTGTCCGGGTCAGAGACATTTTCCTGTATCATATGTCATTTTCTATTCTTCTTGCCCTGAACTTCTAAATTATCCTGCCTCAGAGCTCCAGGATTGGATTTCTGTCAAGTTCCAGGACTCTGACAATCTTCCTCCCTATTCAATGTAACTTCCAACAGTTCCCATGGTGTCCCTGTTTCCGAAGGGGCTTTGCTTCTCCTCCTCTAGTTCTCCCTGACCACTCCCCATGCATTACAGATGGATGTCATGCTTCCCTAACCCCTTCAACCCATTAGTAGACCAGAACATACTGTGATGCTAAAAATCTTTGCCAAAAATTCCTGGCTATGATCACATCGAGCCCTGATGAAACACATTTTATTTTCCAGAGAGACTGAAAAACAGCAGCAACTCCAACAACTGAGTTTTAATCTCTTCTCAGAGAAGAATTTCTGGCTGAAGAGAGCACTGGAAGGAGTCAGAACACATGGGTTTGAGTATGGCCCTGACATACCAGAGAAGGGTTCTTCAGGGAGCTGAAGCTCTAAAGGGGTAAGACTATTTTCCCGTCTGTGAAATCAAGTGTAAGATATATTTATCTCTTGAGTTGCTGAGGTTCAAATGCAAAATCAACCAACATTTGCATAGCTTATCATTATCTCATACATTATTAATGTGGCGTTATTATATTATCATTAGTTTAGCATAAACTAGTAAAAACACCTACCTATTGGTCTTCAACACACATATATTGAGAATTACTATTTTCCAGGTCTGGATGTAATTTCAATGCCTATAAATAAAGGTACATGACAAATCGTAATGAAACTCCGTTCCTTCTGTATGTTAGCTTGGACTGCCATAACAAAATACCATATAGCAGCTGGCTTAAGCAACAGAAAATTATTTTCTCACGGCTTTAGAAGCCAAAGGTCCTGGATCAAGGTGCTGGCAGATTCAGTTTCTGGTGAGAGTCTCCTCCTTGCATGCAGATGGCTGCCTTCTGGCTCTGTCCTCACATGGCTTTTCCTCTGTGTTAGCACAGAGACTTCCTCTTCTTATGAGGAGATCAGTCATAGTGAACTAAGAGCCCTCCTTTATGACCTCAACTAACCTTGATTACCTGGGGGAAAGGCTCTGTCTCCAAACACAGTCACACTGGGGTCAGGGCTCCAACATATGAAATTTAAGACTCAGAATTCAGTCCATAACATCTCCTGAGCTTGCAATATAAACAATTAAGTGAGAAAAAAAAAAAAAAAAAAGATTCCCCCATCCTTTCTTCGGATTCATGCATTGGAAAGAGCTCCTAGGATCTGTTTGTTGGAAGAGAACCACCTCCCAATCCAAAACCACCTCTGCCTAAAAACGCTCACCCAGGGAGCCATTTGGTCATTGTTCTTCCGGGACTCCCTGGCCGGGCCTCCCGCGTCCCTCACTGCTGAGGGCCGGCTGTAGCTCTGTTGTGTACGCCTCAGTCTTAGCACAGAAGAGGCTCATTTTAGCTTTTCTTGTCTAAGTTTCTGAATCTGCTTCTCCACCTTGTGTCCCTCCCCCCCCCCCCCCCCACTCATGTCCTCTCTCTTCCCCAGGTGCCAGCAAACTATAAAAAAGTCTGGAAATACAACGAAAACAGTATGTTTATTTGAACTTTGGGATTAACAATTGGACCCAATGCTTAAGTATGGAGATACTTCAACTAAAAAGGTGTCTGGAGATGGTAGAAAAGTATATTGAACACATTACTGGAAAAAGTAACTAACATCCTATTTAAAAATAAGCTTATTCTATGTTTTCGGACTTTTGGATATCCTTTATGTGTCTGCCTTCACTTGCCCTTCTCCCTTCCTCCTGGCTTTTCTCTCCTGGGTCTCTGTGTACCTTCCCCGTGGCATGCCTCTTTGCTCCTCTCTGCTCTCCCCCTGGCTTTTCCATCACCTCTGTCTTCTCATTTCTCTTTCATGAGGCCTGTCCTCCCCTCTCCACTCCTCTGCCTCTTTCCTGCTCCTTCGCTTCCACAGCCACCCTCTGATTGCAGCTCAATCCAGCTTTATACTTTCAGCACAGCATTTTTGGCATGTGAACTTTTTTCCAATTTCCTGCCAGAGTAACAGTGAAGCTTAGAGGAGAGTAGGGTGAAAAGTCTCCTATGAATAGAGGAGGTGCTAAATGAGCCCTCTCACCGATAGAGTTCAAGAAATGCGGTCTTCTCATCGTGAGCTTTAATGGAGTGGCATGTGTCTAGGCTGGTCACAGGGACTCAGTTCCCAGCCAGATGGGATACACCTTTATTGAAGGCAGACTGGATCTTGCAGAGGGCTCTCAACCAAAAGTCAGGAACTCTGTAGGCAAAACAGAGATCTGATATTCACAGACTGTGTGATCTTCAGAAAGTCCCTAGACCTCTCTGGGCTTCAGTTGTCTTAGCTCTAAAACAAGTGAGTTGGAGTGATCATTTTTAGGAACCTTCTGGGTTTGACTTGATGACTATATGATTCTCCTTCATATAGTACTATATTCCAAATATACAATAAACTAAATATATATCATCAATGAATATAGATGTCAGCCTATATGTATATAAAACACACATGCAAATATGTGTGTGTGAGTGTATATGTATATAAAACATAGCATGCATACACACCCACACCCCCCACACACATACATTCTTTTTTTTTTTAAGATTTTATTTATTTGACAGACAGAGAGCGCGAGAGAGGCAGGCAGAGGGAGAGGGAGAAGCAGGCTCCCCGCTAAGCAGAGAGCCTGACGTGGGACTTGATCCCAGGACCCTGGGATCATGACCTGAGCTGAAGGCAGATGCTAAACGACTGAGCCACCCAGGTGCCCCCCCCCCCCCGACACACATTCTTTGGAGGAAACACTCCAGAAAGCCATTCTAGACCTTGTTTCTTGCAAGTTACAATGGACACTTGATGGGAGGAGACTTTACTCCCCTAAAACATTAAGATTAAAGAAAGACTTTGGAAAACAGATCACAGTGAAAGCAAGGTTAAGATATGGAATTCTTGGAGGCGGTTATTTTTGGATTTTGTTTTATAATAAAATATAGGCATTGTACTTTAAGACTAAATCATAGGGATGCCTGGGTGGCTCAGTTGGTTAAGCATCTGCCTTTGGCTCAGGTCATGATCCCAGAGTCCTAGGACTGAGTTCCACATCAGGCTCCTTGCTCAGTGGGGAGCCTGCTTCTCCCTCTGTTTGCTGCTCCCCCCTGCTTGTGTGTGCGCACTCTCTCCCTCTCTCTCTGACAAATAAATATATAAAATAAAATAAAAAAAGGCTAAATCATATATTTGAGTCCTGATTCATAAACACTTTAAAGCTGGTGTTTATTTAAATGCTAATGGTGCACTGGGTTTGAAAAGTAAAGTGAAATTAGCAAAGTACATTAATGGATAGTAATTGCAGAGAGAAATATGATCTATAAACTATTTTCCCTTTATAAAAATATACCCATATATGATTGGCCACACTGGGTGTTTGAAAGCTAAATGTATAGGCCCCGAGGAAGGAATGACATCATTAATTAATTAATTAAACATTTGGTACATGTCTACCATGTATCTGAGTTTTAAAGAAATTATATATGGCTCTTGCCCTTCTAGGGATATAAGATAAACAAATAAAAATGCATAAACAGTATTGTGATAAGCTATGAAAGAGAGGACATGAGCTAATACAGTAGCAGACACGGGTGATGGGAGCTGGAAGATGGGGGGTAGAAGATGTGACAGTCTGATAGGGGCAGGATGCAGTCCTGGATGCCCCCTTCATCTTGCAGCCAAGATGGAGGACCAGCAGTGTGGAATGAAGGCTGTACCTCCGGGGTACCCATCACTGGCCTCTTCTGTGGAGGGGCCAGTCAGAGCTGCTCCCTGGAGGACACTGCTACGGCTACCAGCAACTGTTCCTGTGCTTGGTCACTGCCCTGTCCCCTGCTGCTGAAGGTGGCAACTCTAGGTGTCTCTCTCCCCCTATGCCCTTCAGCTCCTCAAGGGCCTGGAGTGCCTGCTACCTACTCAGCCTTCTCTCTGACACCTCAGATTTTGCCGAGGCCTCTCCCCCAGTGTGTGCCATGATCCCTGTCCTGCCCCCTGGCTCTTCCCCTTGCTACTGCAGGTCCTGTGACAAGCCTGCTGACTCTTACCTCAAGGACTTTCCATGCCTCCCCAGGGGCTTATGGGAAATTTGAGTCACCTGATCATACCACACAGAAAGGACAGGTGGCTTGGAAAAACCAAGTTCTGGTCCTCTATCTGCCTCTGCACTGTGCATACATAAGCCAGGAGGGGTGCCTCTTTCCCCAGGATCACTCGCCTAATACTACCGCTCCCCACCCTGGGCTGAGATGCATAGAGAGGTCAGGGCACAATCAGCCTCTCTCTCCCGTCTCAGCCACGTCTCCTTCCCAGAGTCTCTCCAGCTGCAGGCAGAGGCCTCAGGGCTCTCATTTCCTGCACATGTGTTCTTCCAGGTTAAGGCAGCAAGCCTCTGGGCCTGGATGCTACAGGTGGAAGGAGTAACTTTTCTACAATTATAGAAGAAACTATGATTTAAGATGTTCCACTTGGGTTCTTCATATGATCAAGGAATTTAGAAAATTCTCTCTGTTGTTGCCAACTCAATATCAATCCCCCTGCTCTTCCTGACTATAGATCCCCCCTTTTGTTCAGAGGCATCATGTGCCCAGTTAAAAGTGCTCTCCTCCCCATATCCAGAGGTTGCCAGGGCTGGCCATGCGGCCAAGTCCTCACCAATGAGCTAGGAGTAGGGTTCTCCTTTAAAAACAAAACAGCTTAACTGGTGTTTGTTTTTGGTTTCTGCCTTTTTCTTTCTGCCTTCCTCCTGCCAGGAATGCTGAGATGATGCCTAGCAGTGCAGTAACCAGCTTGCAAGCACCGAGGAGGGTAACAGAGAAAGCTAGAAGAAACCTGGGTCTGTATCAGGCATGGTTCCACTAGACGATCAGAACCGTTGGGGAGGTGGAGTTGGGGGCAGGGGGTGGGGTTGGATTGCAAAGGATTGGCTTATGTGATTGTGGGGGCTGTCTAGGCAAGTCTGCACCCCGTAAGGCAGCCCATCAGGAAGGGTGGGCTGGGACACTGGAGCACAGGAAGAAGCTGTGATCCACAGGTGAAATTTCTTTTCCTTCAGGGAACACTCAGTTCTGCTGCTTAAAGTCTTTCGACGGATTGAATCAGGCCCACCCCAATTATCGAGGATAATCTTCCTCACTTAAAGTAAACTGGTTATAATTACATAATCAAATCTCTAATCACATCTACAAAATACCTTCACAGCACAAGATTAGCGTATGAGTGAATAACTGAGGACTAGAGCCTAGCCAAGTCATCACATAAAACCACCCATTACAGGGTCCACAACAGCATGATGGTGCCACTACATTAACTCTGGATTTATTGTTATGTGGAAAAACAAAAACAAAGCAAGACAAACAAACAAAAACGGGTTCAGTCTTAGTAGCCAGGCTAGCGTTACAGGCAACCAAATGCAAATCCTAATTAGGATACATTCTTCCTCCACAAAACTCAGTTTTAACCTTATAACTTCCTATGGACTCAAACAAATATCTAATTTTTAAGTCAAAACTGAGCAACAGCCCTGTTGTTTTTAGGAAGGTATTCGACTTTTCCCCCAAAGCTCTGAAATCCACTGCTTTGAGAATGAGAAGGACTTTAGGCAACAGGATTTATAAGATGAAAATACAACTGAACACTTTTGACAAAAAAAAAAGAAAGTATCCCCATTATAATACCTATGGAAAAAAGTAATTTGGTCAACGCTGGAACCCAGAACTACCTGAAGCTAAAACCTATCCTCTTTCTCTGATGCTAAAGTACAAACAAAACTCTCTGCTTGGCCATCTCTGGGAAAGAGAATCACCAACAAAGC